AGTGTGTATGCATCTAATGATGAGACTGAGAGGAGGGATACTTATAGGAGCCTGGCTAGATTCAAGATATCCACGGTTCCATGGATTGTTGGAGGGGATTTTAACTCTGTTTTATCCCCACTGGAAACTTCAAACCTAACCACGGTGACTAGCTGCATGATGGATTTCAAGAATTGGGTAGATAGTATGGAACTGGTTGATCATAGGTCAAATGGCTCTTTCTTTACTTGGACGAACAGGCAAAAGGATAACCCTATAGCCAGAAAGCTTGATCGAGGCCTTGTTAATGAGGCTTGGTTTGATGCCTTCCCTTGTTGTGGAATTGAGATCTTGGTAGGGACCTTCTCGGATCATTGTGGGATCTGTGTCAACACGAAACCTGAGCAAAAGTCCCTGCCAAAGCCCTTTAAATACTTTGAACTTTGGGCTGGTCACCCTGATTTCTACCGCATTGTTGAAGAAGGGTGGTCTACACATGCTCATGGGGACAGGTTACAGGTTGTGAAAGCCAAGCTTAATGCTGTTAAGAAGGGGTTAAGGAAGTTGAATAGAGAGGTTTTTAATGATATCAGTGGGCAGGTGAGAGAGATTGAAGGGCAGTTGCTTGCTGCTCAAGAAAAGGCCCTATCTAGTCCCTCTGGTGACCTTTTTGCTGTGGTAGAAGACCTTAGTTCTAAGCTAGTGAAGCTAAAGAAAGATGAGGAGAGTTTCTATTGGCAAAAGGCTCGAGTTAATCACCTGAAATTGGGAGACCAAGGTACTAGATTTTTCCATCAATCGGTTAAAATCAAGACTGCTAAGAAGGCTATAAGGAAGTTAGTACTCGAGGGGGGTGAGGAGATAGTGGAGATGGACGACATTGCAGCTGAAGCGGTAAAGTTTTATAAAAATTTGTTTGGTTTTATTGACCCTGAGGTTCAACCTTGTAAGCAAAATCTGGAGGGCCTGGTCCTTCATAGATTGAGTGAGGAGCAGAAGACTTTCTTGTGTCAGGAATTTACAGCTGATGATGTGAGACAGGTGGTAGTTGGCATGAGTTCTCATAGGGCCCCTGGCCCAGATGGGTTTTCAGCTGGCTTCTACAAGCGCACATGGGAGATTATTGGGGAGGACATCACTGCTGGGATTCTGGGATTCTTCACGTCTGGTAAGCTTCCTAGTAGTGTAAACTCCACTGCTGTATCGTTGATACCAAAGGTTGCATATGCTTGTAGGCTAAAAGAATTTAGGCCAATCTCTTGTGTGAATATCCTCTATAAAATCATTGCCAAGTTGCTTGCGTACAGATTGAGAAAGGTTTTGTCTAGTGTAGTTAGTGGAAATCAGTCTGCTTTTATTGAAGGGAGAAGGATTGTAGATAATATACTAATGGCACAAGAGCTTGTGAGTGGTTACCACAAAAGTACCCTATCTTCTCGATGTGCTATAAAGGTTGATCTTATGAAAGCCTTCGATTCTGTTCACTGGGGCTATCTGTTCCTCATGATGGAAGTAATGGGATTCCCTCAGAGATTCATTTACTGGATTAGACTTTGTGTTAAAACAGCAAAATTTAGCATTTGTGTTAATGGTGGGTTGTGTGGATTCTTTGGGGCACAGAGGGGGGTGAGACAGGGTGACCCCCTCTCACCTTACCTATTTACAATAGCTATGGAAGGGCTTTCTCTTCTCTTGAACCGAGCTGCTGCAGAAGGCAACCTGGCGTTTCATCCTCAGTGCAAGAAGGTGGGTTTGACACATTTGTGTTTTGCCGACGATTTGCTCATTTTCACAGAAGGATCAGGGCAGGCTATTCAGAAAGTTCAGGGGATTTTGAAAGAGTTTCATACCATTTCGGGGCTGAAGTGCAATCCAGGGAAGTGCGAGGTGTATTTTGGAGGGAAGTCAGTGCATTTCAAGCAGACAGCCTTGCAGGTTTCAGGTTTTGCAGAAGGTATTTTACCTATTCGATACTTGGGTGTGCCTCTTCTTTCAGGGAAGCTGCCTTCTAGTGAGACTGATAAGTTAGTGGCCATAATTACAAAGTAGATCCAGTCTTGGCGCGCCAAAAAACTCAGTTATGCTGGGCGGTTGTAGTTGATTTCGTCAGTTTTGATGGTGACACTCCAGTACTGGATGCAGATCTTTATCCTGCCCAAGAAAGTTATTAAGCAAGTTCAATTGGTGTGTTCTAAGTTTCTCTGGCATGGGGGAGAAGAGGGTCGTGCTAAGGTGAGTTGGGATAGGATGGCAAGACCTAGAATGGAAGGAGGTTTGGGGTTGCGTGAATTATGTGCCTGGAACAAGGCATGTACAGTCAGGTTCCTCTGGTTATTCCTAATGAAGAGTGGTGCTATATGGTAGCGTGGTTTCAACAGTTTAAAGTCAAGGATCGCTACATCTGGACAGTTTCTGATTGCCCAAGCAGCTCCTAGGCCTGGAGGCGGATTCTCAAGTTGCGATCTCTGGTCCATCCTTTACTGTTGATGCAAAATTCTCAGATTCTGTGGGATAATAAACCTATGCCTGTGTTCAAAGTTTCTGTCGTTTGGAACACCTTGCGAGTCAAGTATGCGGTGGTTGATTGGGCTAAGTTAGTCTGGGGAAATAATTATGTACCTCGTAACAGTTTCCTAGCCTGGATGATCATGTTAGACTCTGTGGTCACTAAGTAGAGGCTGATGACGTGGGGTAAGCAGACAGATGGTTTGTGTGTGTTGTGTGGTACTGAAGTCGAAACTCAGGAACATTTATTCTTTGCGTGTGCTTTCTCTCGTCAAGTGGTTATGGATTTGCAAATGGGGATGTTCTGTTGTGGTTCCTGGGAGGCTACTGTGGTTGCAGGTATTGCTAGTTGTAAAAGGCCAAAGCTGGGTAGGATAACAAGCTTGATCTGGTGCCTATGCTGCGCAGGAATCTGGAAGGAGCGCTGTCGTCGCTTGTATGGAAATGCCAGGAAGCAAGTGGAGGAGTTGATCAGGGATGTTACTTGTGATCTAAGAATTGTTTGTGCTGATAATGAAAATCTTACTGAAGGGTTGCTGCTGCTTGGTTTGCAGGGAGAAGTTTAGGGGTCAAAAACTTTGAGTAGGTCTATGTGCAGTGTGTGGTAGGAGGTAGGAGGTTTTATTTCGACTTAGAGGGCTGCTCTACTTGAGCTTTCCTTTTGTTGTATTGGTTTGGCCATTTGTGTCTTGCAAATGGTTTTCCTTTTTACAAAAGTAATAAAAAGAGGAACTGATTCAACGGAAAAAAAAGGGTTGTGACACACATCAAGTTCAATTGCTTGTTTGAAGTCCATGAAACCAAAACAGATACACAATGATTGGGCCTGTATTTTAAACAGTCGTCCTAATACAAAAAATAAAATAAAATGAAATAAAATAAAGACCACTTACTTAGTTGTTGGCCCAATGGAGATAAAATGTAGGAGTGATTTAAATTCTGAGTTGTTCTGCTTTTCTAACCTTCATATTCATAGAGACTCCAAAATCTATTTTTTCCAAGAGCATGAAATAGAAAAAGAGTAAGCAAAACAAAATAGTGAGATGAGAAAAGATAAGGCACACAAGATTTTTAACGTTGTTCACCAAGTTGGCTACTCCAGGTCCTGTATAATCAGTACCCACTGATTTGTAGGAGGCTCTTTTTATTGATTTTCTACTATCGAACTAGAACGTGAAAATTAAAGGAACGAGTAAACTGAGAAACCCAGATCCCTAATCCGATTGTTCTAACCTATCACGATTTAGAACCTTTACCTCTAAATTAGTAGTACACTTTGTAATCCCAAGCCCTTTACCACTCCCAATTACAACGCTTGACAAGAGAGAGCTCCACATGAGCTATTGATACAAGGCATCCACGCCACCGTTGAGCTTGAAACCAATCAAGCTGGATTTTGCTGAGTAATCTCCTTTAATTCTCCAATTTTGGATTTCTATCCTTCAACAATCTCCACATAAATATGAAATTGCAGATTGGCAAAGAGTGCCTGCAAAAATAACAATTACCTTTCTACACAAAGAGGATGATAACCTTTAATTAATCAAAACTCGGCAAAGAAGTTGGACACAACCACTAAGGACCACATCCAGGCCGAGCAAACCAAAGTCATTATAAGTAAATCAGAAAATATAGTCCAAAGCAGCAAACGATAAACAAAAATAATCTACCCCTAAAGTCTAGACGCCTTCATTGTTAGAGCCCGATCCATAAAGAGCTTGCAAGGCAACAACAAAAAGTTTGAAGAGCATTTGTGCAAAACCATCGTCGGAGTTGTCAGAGTCAGAATCCTCTGTGTTGTTGTTCATGTTGTGAACATTATGCATGTTCTCCCCTTCAATCGCAATTTTCTCTGGCCTCTGTTTTAGATCTTAGGATTATCTCCCATGCTGTTCACAGGGGGTCCCATACTGGAAATTGCAGTTGAGGGGGGAGGACATTCCCTAATGTCCACAAAAGGAAAGCTGTATCTGGTGAGTAATCTCCTTTAATTATGCAATTCCAGATTTCCATCCTCCAACATTGGTGTGAGTCGATTTTCATAACAATACAAGGAGGAGGCGGAGGGGATTGTCAAGCTAAAGAAACAGAGGAGTGGGAAGCAATAGTAGAACCAGAGGAGGTAGAAGTAGCTATCGACATGGTAAGAGCCGAATATGAAGAAAGGAATGTCTGTTTGCAGTGAGGCTTTGTGGATTCGATACCATGAAATCTCTAAATGTGTCACACTCTTTCTTTCCATCACTAAAGAATTTATACAAGAGAGAGAGAGAGAGAGAGAGAGAGAAAATATCGTAATGTGAATTGAGTGGAGCTGAGATATTAGGAACATAATTCTACATGGTGGGTATGCATAACGAAAGCCATAAAACTCTATCTGCTTACCAGTCAAAAGGCCAAAAAAAAAAAGTTTTCTAGTGTAGAGGGATATATTGAATGAAGTGCATAGTTATAGGTTAAAATGAGTGACTTAACGCTCTTATAAATCATAAAAGACTTGAAGTTCCACTAGAATTTGTTATACGTAAGTTAAATACATTGTTTTTAATATTTTCGTTGTACTTTCATTAGTTGTATCTACATTCTTGCGTGGCAAATGAGATCACTTATATATGTGCCCCACTGGATATAATTATTTAACAATCATCCATTAAGAAGATGTGAACATGTGAAAATATAATGAATGATGGAACCTTTTTAATGAAAAGGGTTAAAGACACATTTGGTCACTGAGATTACTAAATCGGGACATGTTTAGTCACTTGAAAAAGTTAATATCAAATTTGGTCACTATAATTACTAAAACAGGACACATTTATTCACTCGCCGTTAGTTGCCGTCCAACTCCGTTAAAAGAGTCCGTTATGTGCTGATGTGGCTAACATGAGCCCCTAGTCAGTGGCGTTTTGGGAAGGAAATGGTCAAACCCGACCCGCCATGTTACTAAACCCGCCACGTAATAAACCCAACCCAATCCATTAACCCAACCCGACCCAGAAATAAACCCTAACCCACCTAACCAGACTAGAGCCCACTTAAAAAAAAAACTTATTAGTTTCCATTTGTAGACCCGAAAACCCTTCTCCTTCCTCGAGAGCTCTTCCCCTTCGCCATTTTCGATCAAACTAATCTGAGAGCAGAGAGCAGGGAGTAGGGTTGGGCAACGGGACGGGTACCAATTCCTCATTTGGAGACCAAAGTCCATCCCATATCCCAAACCCATATGGGAAATAGGTACCCATTACCCGTACGGGACGGATAACGGGTACCCATACTACCCATAAATACCCAAAGTTTAAACCACTAAAATTTTAACAATAGTTTAAACTTAACTTGTATTTGCTTAACAATCACAAGACACAAAATACATCCCAATCACAAATACTTGATTTGAAAATTACACATTCATGAACAATCACAACACATAGAAATAAACCATTCCAAGCACCAAATTATCAAATAAGAAGTTTCATTCAACACAACCAAATGGGAGGCATGTTGCTACCTTTCTTGTGTTGCTGAATGCAGAAAGTGTCCAAATTTTTAGGTTCACGGGAAGCTAAAATCTATAGCATACAAAAGAAACTTTCTGCAAGCTGTTGCTATTGCAGTTCTCCCTTCTCCAGACTGCTGCTGCTGTCGTTCTCCCTTTTGCAGTTGCAAGTTGCTGTCCTGCACCTGCTGTCGTGCTACTGTCCTGCAAAGAAGAATAGTTAGTAGCAAAAAGGTTAGGCAAAATACATTTGTATATCCACAACTATCAGGTTTGTGACAAATATATCCACAACTATCGAAATACACGAAATATCCAAAAATCGGAAGGTTGTGTGAAAAATCTATCCACTTCCGTCAGAAACTATAACGGCGTGTCAGACGGCATTAAATTGACTAACGGAATGTTGAATCAATGCCATCTCACCTGCCACATAAGCCAAAAAGCAACCAAACACTACACGTAGATGCCAAATAGGCTAGTTGAATAAAGGCCAAATACAGTTGTATATCCACAACTATCAGGTTTGTGACAAATATATCCAAAACTATCGAAATACACGAAATATCCATTTTCGTCCACTTTGTTAACTCCGTCAGTTAACTTGATGACCGGACAAACGGTGGATGCTTAGTTGGCATGTTTCTGACCCCACTGAATGATGTGGATTAAAAGAGAATTAAAAAAAAACCCTAAAAACCACAGACAGTGACACTAAAAATCCAACACAGAAACACGCCCGATAACCACTGATCCTCTTCCAATCGACGCCTCCACCCCCAAATAACCCTACCCCAAGCCCAGTTTTCGATTCCAACCACAATCCCCAACCATTGCCTCCCTTTTACTCCGACCGCTTCCATACAGCCGGCGCCATGGTGATACCAAGCTTGAATCTCAAACAAAAAAGTTTGAATATGTATTTTGGGTCTTTTGTTCCATTAAGGAGAAATCAGTTAAAGAATTATCTTCCCCCAAACTCTAAGCTCTCCCTATCTCCTAATTTCTCTTCTTGCCTAGTCCAAGGCTTCGGCCGATCCTTAATTCTGTTCTTCCTCTCCTAATCTCAATCCCTAATTCTGTTCTTAATCCCTAAATCCTCAATTCACGATAGAACTCTAATCCCAGGTTCTATCAATTGGTATCAGAGCCAACATGAGCTCCTCAAGGCTCTCTGATCCTTCTTGGACACGTTTGCTGCAGCGAATTGATGCTCTCTGCGCCGACCGGGAAGCGACGGCGCGCGTAGGAGGCTGCCCAGCGGTGATGGCAGGCGGTCCGATTGGGCTGGAGCTGGAGACGGCGCCGCCCGAGGGGCCGTCGACCGGGGAAGTGGCGGTCATGCCGGGCGAGTCGGCGATGCAGGAGGACGGAGGGCAAGGCGCGGCGCTCGGCGCGGCGTCGATTGCCCAAGGAGGAACGCCGACGTCGGAACAGCGCAGCGGTGAGGAGATGGGCTTGTCGCCTATGAGCAGATCGCCAGAGGAGCAGGCGATGGCGGAGAAGAAACCGCCAATGAAGGCCGCGTCGGAGGACGTGATGGAAACAGGGGGCGAGCTCGGGAAAGCGAAGCCGGTTGGGGTGAATGCGGCGATGGAGGTGGAACTGGCGGAACCGAAGACGAGGTCGGCGTCGGGCTGGTCCTCGCAACGCCGGGTGCGCGACTTGACGTCGGGGTCATCGAAGAAAGAGGTGGAAGAGGGCGGCGGCATGGCTTTGTTACACTCAAACCCTAGAGAGGCCTCCAACCGCAAAACACCACATCAACAGCTATGCCCGTTGGGCCAAGCAATTTGGGCCAACTATTATTTTGAGGGGCCAAGAGTAATGGATTGTTTGGTGCAGGAAGGTGAGGGAAATTTCATTCATGGGCTTGAAAAGAAAGAGGAGAGCGTTGGGCTCATCACAGGCCAAATTGACCAACGGAACGGGCCAAGTCTGAGAGAGAATGGGACCAAATTAAGCTTTAGTCTTGGGCCGCCCAAGAAAGGAGCCAGCAAGTTTAATGAGGGAGATGGGCTAATTCTACAGAGTGGGCTAGGGCTTCAGTTGGGCTGGCTAGTTGGGCTTTTTTGGTATGGATTGGGTTCAATGGCTTGGGAAAAGATGGTGTAGGACTGGAAGAAAAGAAAGCGCAAAGAGCGGAGAAGTCGATGTGCAAATGGTGCCACCACGGTGGGGGGAGAAGTCAAATTGGTCAACCTTGAGGACAAGGTTGGTCTCAAGGGGGAGGAGATGATAGAAACCTATGGTTTCTATAATTACTATTATTATTAGGAGGATTTTTATTATTAAGTGTTCGAGTCATATTAGGATAGTCTATTAGGTTTTCCGGTCCTTAAGCTATAAATATGTACTTTGGGTCTTTTGTTCCATTAAGGAGAAATCAGTTAAAGAAAATGATAGACGTTTTATTATTTGAGATTAATGTCGGTTTGAATCATTTAGTTTGGGATTAATTTGGTTATTGGGGAATAGTTGGGGAATTAATAAGTTGAGGTAGTTAGTCGGTAATTGTGTTTTGGGTATTTAAACTATTGTCTACGTAGGTAATGGTAAGCAAGAATAAACCTAATTCCTATTTGCTCTCCCTCTTCCTCTCTTTTCTCTGGTGACCGCCGAACCCTTCTCCTTCCTCTTCCAAGATGCCGTTCGGCAGCAGCCTATTTCCCTCTCCTTCTCATCTCAAATCCCCTAAATTCTTCTACCCTCAATCTCCCAATTCCCTGGATCAATCCCTAGTTGATCCCTAATCCCCAATTCCCCGATAGAGCTTAATCCGGAGCTCTATCATTTGGTATCAGAGCCCCGTTCTTGGGTTCGAATACAAACAGAGAACGACGAGTGCAATGGTGTCCACGAAATCAATGCAAACAGCTGAGAAGGCCGCCAAAGCGGCAGCGCAAGAGCAAGCCTCGATCGCGGCCTCGACCGGGCTGTCGGAAGCTGGCGGCGGTGGCCATGGGACCTCCGACCCGCGGGACGGGGAACTGGTGGACGGGACCGAGAAATTGGAGCTGATACAGACCACCTTGGATTGCCTGGTAGTTGAGTTCGAGGAAGAACGCGAGGAATGGCGGGCTGTCCGGCGCGAACAAGGCGAGCAGCGGCGCGTACAGGAGGAGGAGTCCCGGAGAGTTTGGAAGCGGTTCGACGAGGTGCAGAGGATCGTGGAGGCGCTGGCCGCCGCGCACACCACCCGGCCGAAGAATAGCAGCGGCGGCGGTGAAGGAGGTGGAACCCGGAGCGGGCCGGGAGAATCGCCGGCGGCTGGGGACGCGGAGGCGAGCGCCGCGGCGACCGCAGGTGACGCGTGGAAGGGGACGATGGTGGTGGCGGACGGGCCGCCAGCGGTGGCGGCTATCGTGGTGGCAGAGGCGGCGGAGGTGGTGACCTAGGGCGGTGGGGGCAACCTGCCCGACGCCGGAGAGCGAGTGGGCCCTGGTAAGCAAGGGCACAACGGCGGACCTGGGCTGCTACCGACACCAACGGCCCAGGAGTTGGCGGCCCGCAAGGGCAAGGCCAGATGCCAGGGTATGACAATGGGGCCCAACCGACTGGGTATGGGCCGACTAGGCCAATGGGCCGGGTTGACACTGTGGGCTCTTATTACGAGCCCAGAGGGCTGGGCTGGCTGAACATGGGCCCGGAGGAGACCGAGGAAGAGCTCAGCCTGGTGGGCTAGACTGCACCGTGGGCCGACCCGGCTAGTGCTGAAGATTACTTAGGCCCAGGGCCGATAGGGGGCCGAGCCGCGCGGAGTGGACCAGGGCAGGAGGGCGGCTTGGGCCGAGGAGGCGGGTCAACCCGCCGAGTCGAGCAAGGGCCGACCGACCCAGGTTGGGGCGAAACCGGGCGGGGTGAACCAGGGCAAGTTGACCCGGGTCAACCCAGAAGTGGACCGAACCGGTTCGGGCAGGGGTTGGTCATATCAGCCAGCATGGACCCAAATATGTGGCAAGGGTCGTATGGAGGGGGACATGGAACGGGTCCGATGGGGAGAGGAGCCGCGGGCGGTTTTGGGCGAGGAAGAGGATCACCGCTCTACTAGAGCCAGCCGGGTGATCCGGGTTTTGACAGGTATGGTTCATATCACTCTGCTTATGATGGAACTGATGGGATGGTCTTTAGGGCCAAGCCCCCGACCATTGAGTTTCCCAAATTCAACGGTCAGGAGGATGCCGGGTTGTGGTTGTATGCAGCAGAGCGGTGGTTCAGAAACCATCCCATACCGGAGGAGAGGAAGGCGCATCTGGCGTCCTTCTATTTAGAAGGGGAAGCTCTGCAGTGGTGGGAATGGATGGAGAGATCGTATGGGGCGGTGGGAACCTTGATCACATGGCCGCTGTTTCAGGAGGAGCTGCGTTACCAGTTCGGTAAATCTGAGGGATGGGCGCCGGAACAGTTGGCCAAGCTTAAGCAGACTGGTTCAGTAGCAGATTACCGTGTTGAGTTCTTCAAACTGGGCAACCAGTGCCATTGGTGGGGCTGTGTATGGCAGGCCTGAAGCCGGAGATTGCTGCTGCTGTCCGGGTCTTTGAACCGGACTCCTTGAAATCTGCTTTTCGTCTTGCAGGGACAAGGAAGAGGAGCTTGCTAGTTGGAGGAGTACCCTAGGGCGCTACCCGAGGGCTAGTGGTGCCGGGAGCAGTGGTGGGGGCAACAGTGGCGGAGGAGGAGTGGCTGGAGCCACGGCTGGAGCTGGGGGATCCGCGGCGGTGCAGGCGCTGGGAGCGGCGGCAAAGGGTGGGGCGCGACCGCCATCGAAGGGGTTTTTGCGACTATCTCCAGCAGAGATCGAGAAAAAGAGGTGGGAAGGGAAGTGCTTTAACTGCGACGAGAGGTTCACGATCGGTCATAAGTGTGCACGTCCGGACTTGATGATGCTGGTTGGAAGGTGGGAGGACGAGGCGGAGGATGCGGCGAGGGAAGGGGAAGATGCAGGAGACGGCTATCAACCTTGAGGACAAGGTTGTTTTGAAGGGAGCGAGAATGATAGAAGTTTTATTATTTGAGATTAATGTCGGTTTGAATTATTTAGTTTGGGATTAATTCGGTTATTGGGGAATAGTTGGGGAATTAATAAGTTGGGGTAGTTAGTCGGTAATTGTGTTTTGGGTATTTAAACTATTGTCTACGTAGGTAATGGTAAGCAAGAATAAACCTAATTCCTATTTGATCTCCCTCTTCCTCTCTTTTCTCTGGTGACCGCCGAACCCTTCTCCTTCCTCTTCCAAGCTGCCGCTCGGCAGCAGCCTATTTCCCTCTCCTTCTCATCTCAAATCCCCTAAATTCTTCTACCCTCAATCTCCCAATTCCCTGGATCAATCCCTAGTTGATCCCCAATCCCTAATTCCCCGATAGAGCTTAATCCGGAGCTCTATCAGAATCTAACAAAATCGCCAGCAGAGAAGACTGCAACAGCGAGGTCTAACAGATAACGGTGTAAAGTTTGGTTGCTTTTTGGCTTATGTGGCAGGTGAGATGACATCGATTCAACATTCCGTTAGTCAATTTAACGACGTCTGACACGCCGTTATAGTTTCAGACGAAAGTGGATAGATTTGTCACAACCTTTCAATTTTTGGATATTTCGTGTATTTCGATAGTTGTGGATATATTTATCACAAATCTGATAGTTGTGGATATACAACTTTATTTTGCCTATTTTTTTCTCTTTTAATCCATGTCATTTAGTGGGTTCAGAAACACGCCAACTAAGATCCACGGTCTATCCAGTCATCAAGTTAACTGACAGAGTTAGTGGAGTGGACGGAAATGGATATTTCGTGTATTTCGATAGTTGTGGATATATTTGTCACAAATCTGATAGTTGTGGATATACAGCTGTATTTTGCCAAAAGGTTAAGCCCTGAACATTGATACGAGATACAAGCCAGTGTTGCACAACATAATCTACAGAGGACCTCTTTTCAACAATGCAGCAGAGAGAATAGTTAGGAGTAAAAGTGGGCATATAGAGGCGGTGGGCATATATGATTCATGGGGCATATAGTCTCTAACAATAAAAAGCTACAAACAAAATTTTCTGCCTTTGTATTGAATGGGTATAATGGGTACCCATATTACCCAAACGGGTATTCGCGGGTAACCCGCGGGGTACCCATATTAGGAATGTACAATCCCAAGTCCCATCCATTTATAATATTACGGATAATATGGGTACCCGTAACCCTTAAAAAACGGGACGGGTACGGGTATACCCAAATACCCCTTTCCCGTTGCCCACCCCTAGCAGGGAGAGATGGTAACATTAACGCTACCCCCTTGACCCCTTTGTCCCAGCAACCTCCTTCGAAGTCGCGTCGCGTTGTTCCTCTTCTTCAAAGTCGCGCGTTTCCCCCACCGGCAGACAACGAGACCTTCAAATTCTCCTTCGATTCACGTTGTACTTCTTCTTCTTCATCGCGCGTCAGCGTCAACTTCCTCAATCGCAATAGTGGACAAAACCCTAAATCGATTCCCCCATCGCTTCAGTTGCTACTCTCTTATCCCCGACTGTAAATGTAAGTTGTTTCTTTCTCTTTTCTGGTTATAAGTAGTCTCAAGAGTCGGGAAAAGAGGAAGGGGCAAATGAAAGTGAAGAAGTGGTTGCATGTTTGGTTTTGGGTCTCTCTATTGGGGTTGTTTTATACTGAAAATTGGACTATCCTGTTTGTTTCCCAGCTCACCATTCCACGCGAGAACTATGGTGGTGCATGTGCGGGCACCAGATGCTATTCAGCTCAATTATTGTAAGTTTACCTTTGTTTTCACCCTTGTCTTTATGGTAGACAGTAGTGGTTGTATCATAAAGTTCAACAGGACAACCTTGTTGTCGTTTCGGAATAGAAAATGCAGGTTTGTGGGGATGACCAAGACTAGCAATAGTTGTTTGACCTTTTGTCTTTTCTTTTATGAGTTTTCTCTCTTGTCTTTATGCAAAGAGAATTCTTGGGGTGTACCATTTTACAGTAAGACTTTATTATAAATAAGGACAACACTTGGTTGTTTTTTTTGAATAGAAAAATGCAGATTCTTGTGGGGATAACCAAACACTTTTGTTTCTTTTTATTACAAGTGGCCTTTATGGTGACCACATACTTACATATTGCGGTTTTATCTTCATGACAGGTGATTGCAGTG